TGTGAACCTTGTTCATTTTTCGAACTCTATCTAACCAACTAAGTAGATTTGTTCTGTAATCCATAGAAAATTTACAATAAATCTACTTTTTCTCCCGGTGCTATAAATTAGCAAAAACTTTTTAAAACTTTTTATATGATAAAGGATTCAATTCCATACATTTTCTATATTATTACTTTGCTATAATCCTATCCCACTGGTTCTAAAATTATTTAAAACTCAGTTTAATGACATATCCGGCGTCCCTGGCCAAAAGTTATTTATTCTAGAGCAAATTCATTAGGGGCAGTATCCGTACTTTTTGACCCTCTTTCCAATGGTGTATATATAAAGTCCATCTAAGATCTATAGTTTTTACCCTATCCGGATGCCAGCACCCATCTCAGCCCCTTTAGTAGCATATCTGTGTCTTTGGGAAAAGGAAGACACTATGAAAATACGAAAAATGTATCATTTTTTTGTTTATTTTTATTTTATCTAGTTTACGAGCAAAGTCCAGTCCAAGTACTTTCTTTACATTCTCATTATATTTTCGGTATAAAGTGCTAGGTAACACATTTATCTTAAAAGCATGTCCATTTGTACAATTTGCTCACTTTTATATGACAATGAATCTAATCAATATAAAGTAACCAATACAGTAATCAAGTATTAATAATCCATTTACTATTCTATGATCGACAGGAAGTGGAATCTTCGTTTCTCCGAAGGGGGTGTTGGAGAGGTCCGGTTCGGTAGGCCTGAGTTTAATCATATGGACAGGTTCTGGCCTGATATCTCTACTTGGTAAGATACAGTATTCTTAGAGATGTGTTGCCAAATTATGAGCTAAATATATTGTCTATCTGTCATCTACAGGTGCGTTGTGTTATGCAGGTATACAGCATTAGATTAGGATAATAAGTAATATGACAATAAGTAACTGCAATGTCATGTCATACAGAGTTGGGAACACTAATCACTAAATCCGGTGCCGAATATTCCTATATTCTCGAGTCATTTGGAGGTCTTTTAGCGTTTCTCTTCTCGTGGATCTCAGTGTTTGTGTTAAAGCCGGCGATGTTGGCCATCATATGCATGACTC